AAATTTTAAGAACATTTTCGCTATTTTCATTTCACTTGAAACGTGGGAGTTTGTTTTGGTAATACCACTTCAGCCATTAAAAGTCCATTGCTGACCATATACCAACCCCATAGATTACCGCATTATGGCCACCCACATAGATGCCCCATATTTGCTATAGCTGTCACGCTTGACAAAACACAGCAGCATTAAGCTGCTATTTTACGCTGGTATTCTGAGAGAGCATGGTCCTGCCCCGTTTGAGCCGACCCGTTAGTGCTACAACTATAATATAGCTGCAACGTGGCTCTACCACGTAAACACCTGACCTACGCACGGGACGAAATGAGGCGACGAGATGAGATTTTATACGCCGCCGTGCTTTTAATACTTGATAATATTACCAGTGAATTATTATTATCAAGTGCAAAAAGCAAAAAAATCTTAAAAATAAGATGAGCCACACAGCAATCATTATTTAATATGGATATATATAATATTATAATTTATAACAAAACATTATAATTGACATATATTACATATGATACACCTTTTTTATATGATAGGGTGACGAGCACACAGTCCACCTGATGGTAAGTAATTACTGCAGCCCATAGACATCTACACTCGATTACGAATCAAAAAGCAGATGCGTTGTCACATGTGAGGACTAAGATGGAATACCTCGTTTCCAGTAAAAAGGGTCTCCGGTCTCTACACTCACCATACGAAACACAGCAGCGTTAAGCTACTATTTCACGCTGGTATTCTGTGAGAGCGTGGACCTTCCCCCGTCGAGCCGACCCATTCGTGCTACAACTATACTACTAATACAACTGCAGCATGGCTCTACCACGTATAAACACCTACTATAATTTATATAATAATAGTTTAATAATTACAAACATATTGCTTAAACATATTACTTATAGAAAACGTAACTAACGAAACTACAGCATTATTTATATCAACTAACACCAAGTTAGAAATATGATACCCCCGATGAAAAAGAGAAGTGTTATATGTTTTACGTGTACATATCTGTGTATCTGTGTCTGTCTGTTCTGTGGCATCCTATCTCTCAAACTGATGAACCGGTTTACATTTAGACTTTTTTCTTTGAAAGGTGACTTGATCGAGTGTTCTTAGCTAAAATCCAAGAAAATCATTCCAGCCGTTGGAAGGTCATCAGCTCTTTTAGTTTCGGAGGTTCTTAAATTTTAAATTTTAGTTATTAAAAGGTTTATTACGCGCTTTTCTAACGCCTTCAGCAATGAAGTATAAAAACAGCGATAATAAAAGGCTATCGTGAGAAAGAAATATGTATAAACGTCCTTACTGACTTTGTAACGGAATAATTCACATAACCGTATTGAAAATAAATTACTTAACTAGGATTAAGTGCGATGAACTGTCGGAAAACTGTATTTAATCGCATTTAAGCTACAGTGCGGCTAATCAGTGCCTTGCAGTAACCGTGCCTTAACTGAGCCGGCTTTCATAAAGTTTGCCCGCAGCGCAGCCCGCAACACATAGCTGTCTAATGATCGCGTGACTGGCGTAATCGTTATCGTAGTAGCATGGCTAAATATTTAATATTTATTTAAGTTTCGTTTCGTTTCTTTGATTTGAAATAATCAGTTATGGTGAAAGATATGATTTTGTTTTGTTTAGCCGTATAAAACATATTCTCTCGTTTGTCTAATATACATATATATTTTTTTTATATATATGAGGGAGGGCAGCGAGCATGCGGCTCACCTAATAGTAAGTGATTACCGCCGCCCACCGGCATTTAAAAAAGAGTTAGCTCTTTACTCTTTTCTTGAAGGTCCCTAAGTCGTATCGGTCGTTTTTTAAATGTATATAGCATACATTGGCAAATCGAAGGTTTATTTCAAGAGGCAGCTTGGTACCTACCTGATGAAGCCCAATGCAAGCCTAACGCGGTAATAGTAATTTCAACTTGATGTGTTGACCTATATTTCGACCACAGATTTTAAAAACAAAATTTTTTGAATAAAAAACGGTGTATTAAATACGACGATTGTCTTATTACAGATTGAATGAATGTATTTGTATAAATATCATATATTATATAGTTTATATAAGTATATGAAGCTCAACTCTATTTTTGTAAGCATATTTCTTCTTTAATCCGTTAACATTCCACTATTGGAGTGCTCTACTAATGTCGGAAAGCTAAATACTATCGTCTAGCATATTAAAAGTTGGTCGCCATGACCGACGTGGTTTCGAGTCCGAGACAACGTTTACGTATATAATCTAGGCTATGAAAGTAATCTTTATGTTTCTTGTTGACGTTACGTTCAATAAATAAGATAGGGCGCTGAGTTTTGTTAAGCATAAGTCTCCATTAATTCACGAAAGAGTTATGAAATAGAGAAAAACCCGAAGCGTTCCAACAATGCTTGTAAATTTTTACGTGGTACACCCACGCTGCAGCTATATTGTAGTTCTATCACGAATGGGTAGGCTCGACCGGAGCAGGACCACGCTCTCACAGAATACCAGCGTAAAATAGCAGCTTAATGCTGCTGTGTTTCGTGTGGTGAGTGTAGAGAACCGGAGACCCATTTTATTGGAATCGAGGCATTCGATCTTAATCCTCAGGGGTAACAACGGAACTTGCATTTGGATTCTTAATCGAGGTTAAATGTAGATGTCTATGGGCCACAGCATCCACTTACTATCAGGTGGACTGTGTGCTCGTTTGTCACGCAATGCCATAAAAAACAACATATTATGCTATCGAAATATTTTTAATTTTTATTGATCTGCGGGGAAGGTCTGTAGATCAGCAGTAGACTTTTGGTGGACTGTAACCAAGTAATGAATGATGTCATTTTCAGCAGTATTTAGTTCTTTAAAATCTCAGCGGGACCGGAAAAATCGAATATCTAGTGTTTACTATTAAGGGGAAATATAATGTCAAATGGCTTAGCAAGATCCTTCGTTATGCCGAAAATATTGCAGCATTAATTTTGAAATAAATATATGGTAAAGTTGAGGATTAATGTTAGTGATTATGTTAGACGAAAACACGATTTCGTAAAATTTTCTCGATAGAAAAAAAATCCAAAGTTACCTCCAAAATAAACAATAAACCGCTGTTATTCATAAAATACTTTAAATAAGATCATGAAACTTTGCATACTAACTGAACTAACTATAAAGCAGTGCTTATGTTATTTACTTTTTTTAAATTACCATTATTTTCACTGTAAAAAAGAAATTACCTAAACTATCGGCGTCTTGAGCTTGATTCCTGTCGTTCCGATTGGTTAGTATCGCTTAGGCTTTTGAAGGGAGAAGTTGTGTCGCTTACGATCAGAATATACATTACGTAACAGTACGACGTAAAATTAAAATGGGAAATAACCGTGATAAAAATAAGAAGCGGCTGGCTTGGCTTTAAGAAACAGGCATAAATATGATAAACCTAATGAAATAAGTGTCTAACGACCTTTCTACTTACAGTATTAGTGATTACAAATATTTCGGTACATAGCATACGACGCGCGGGGAAGTGGGGGCGAAATTAGAATTTGAGCTGACTTACTCTAACCTCTTAATTACAACTCTTTTTTATACATATTGTCGCTTGTCTTCACTTATTTAAAAAACGTCGATGTTTAAATCGATCGACGACGACGACGATCGACGTCGATAGCATAGGCATCGGCATCGGCATTTTAATATCGATATAATTTCGCATTGTTTGATTCTTACTATAGCATTACCTACGAATATATACATTATCAAATAGAAAACCAAAAATATGTTATAATATCAATTTTAACAACTTTTTTAATCGTTTAAAATTAGTTCCACTCCTAGGCAAGGGCCTCTCATTTTTGAGAGGGTTTTAGGGCAAAGGAATAAATACCTAATCCTTGAGCTACCGCCTTTGGAATGCAATCCATAATATTTTCTATTTTGTCATGCACGGTAATGTGTAAGAGCATTTTATAACTTGAACATCCATTAAAAATGATACATAATAGCGTGGAAATTTAGTTATGAAAGGCAACGAGAGGCGGCCGCAAGCTATGGACGTTGTGAATTGATATAGGCCGAAGGACATTAAAAGTAAAAGGCCGTTCCAATAGCACACATGTAACTTATGTATCTTGTTATAAAGGTCAAAGTTGAATAACTACAGAATCTACAAAAGCATTTTCATTTAATTATGTGATGATGAATTTCTTTTTATTGTGGCATAGCTACAAGGCTTTCGGGCAAAAATATTAAATAAAACGCTGTAAGCATTTAGTTTTTTTAAATATTAACAAATTCCACAATAAGAGATTTTGTCAGGAATTCAACTCAACTCAGCAGATAAGTCAATGACGACTCTGAGGACGATAGTATCCTTAGTTCTCAAGGCGCCTTAGCTGAGTAAATACCTTGCTTATTTTTACTCTAAGGGTATTAATAACTTGAGATTTATATCAACATTGTACTGTCAGTATCATCGTTTCCACTGATGCACATGCTTAAATATTTAATATACAAAATCGTTTTGTGTCCATCTCAAACCATTATTTAAACGACATTACAGGAGCAGAAATCTGCCGGCTGTCAAGTTTCCACCAAACCTCATGGATCTACTTAAGAATTAGGTTACTAATTATTAAAAAAAAAATTGGAAGCGCAAGAGAATACATCGGCGCATTTCTTCCCGTAGGTGTAGTAGTTATAGTAAGTGACATGTATTGTTTGACATCATCCCTATTACCATGACAGCCATTAAAAGTCAACTGTTGAACTTTGGCCGCCCCCATAGATTGCCCCATAGCTGCCACACGGAAACCACAGTATTAATGTTTAGTTCAGTCGTTATTAAGAAGACACTCCTGCCTGTCTCCTGTTTCAGCTTTTAGACAATCACGGGTCGATACGCGTAGTGGTTATTCTTACACCGCTTCTACACGAATATAACATATTGACACCTCGTTAAAGTAAAAATCCATAGTAATTCTGTGATTTGTTTACAGCGACGAGCGGTGCGGGTAGCGGGCCCGGCGGCGGTGACGTACGACGCGGCGGTGACGTCACGCCGCATGCGCAACCGCAGCGGAGGCTCATCAAAGTCGACTTTGACAATCTTGAGGTGAGTAACGTGTTTTTAAGATCTTTTGTGATGTTAATAAATCATTGGCTTAAGTCGGTCTCCTACCGGGTCGGCTTTTACGTGGTAGAGCCAGGCTGCAGCTATATTATGATTGCAGCACAAATTGAAGCACAGAATACCGGCGTAAAACAGCAGAATAATGCTGCTGTGTTTCGTGTGCTGAGTGTAGAGAACCGGAAACCCTTTTTACTGGAAACGAGGCATTCCATCTTTGTCCTCAGTGGTGACAACGAACCTGTATTTTGATTCTTAATCAAGGCTAAATGTAGATGTCTATGGGCCACACACTTCCACTTACCATCAAGTAGACTGTGTGCTCGTTTGTCATCCTTATTCTATAAAATAAAATAAAATATTTTAAGCCTTGTATGGACTAGGCGTTCCAATGAACGCGTAGTCGGTTACGCGTACACAGGAACGCTATTTCATACCTGCAGCAGCGCGTATACAATTTGAGCACGCGTGTCGTCACCAGTCGGCTTTTGGTTGCACAATGAGAAGTGTCGCAGTGGTGATGCACACAACCCGCCATGGCATGTCTCGAAACACAGTGTTTCGAGACATGCCATGGCGGATACTGGCAAATGGCTGACCGACTTGCGACTTGTTACCAGGCGTTCATAATCCCGCAATGCGTAAAAGGTGACCTGTACTCGTATCCACTTGTACGCGTATTCAATAGTATCAAAGTATCATGAATATAGGTAATGATTTTATTACTGTTTAAAATAACTGTGCTCGAATGTAAAGCATTACGCAATTCATCAACCATAACTATAAAATTGCTTTTGTTAAGAGTCTCTAAACCCTTATCCGACTTCGAAGGTATTTTTTATAGCATAAGTGTGACAAGCGAGCGCACAGTCCACCTGATGATAAGTGATTGTTGTGGCCCATAGACATCTGCATTTATCCTTGATTAAGAATCAAAATGCAGATGCGTTGTCACCTATGAGGACTACGATGGAATGTCTCGTTTCCAGTGAAAAGGGTATCCAACTCTCTACACTCACTATATGAAACACAGCAGCATTAAGCTGATAATTTCACGCTGATATTCTGTAAGAGCGTGGTCCGTTCCCGATCGAACCGACCAATTCGTGCTATAACCATAATATAGCTGCGGCGTGGCTCTAGAACGTTAGATGAGTTGTTTATTTGCGCAAAAAAATCACGAGTGTAACTCTTTAACTTGATTTTTTATATCATTCAATAAACCAAAATGAATTAACGCAATTTGACAAGACCAAACGAATTGGAAATGGTTCTCAACTCATCAAGGCGTCCTAAATAAATAACGAGATTTCAATTTGTTTAATTTGACGACGTGCATCAAATTTTCTCGTCCCCATTTCACTTTTACGTGCCTCAGCAGTCTGGAGTCGCAATATCTTAAAAGCTAAGCCAAATATTAAACAAGAAAACATTGTTCATTTTCTAGTTTTATTAAAAAAACTAACAAATGTTGCGAATATTGTAATGTTGTGTTAGTTTAACAAACATAATAGCTGCTAAGCTAGTCAATAGTAAAAGATATTTTTTACCGACTTCAAAAAGGAGTAGGTATTCAATTCTAATGTATGTTTTTATGTGTGTTACCTCAGAACTTTTTCTCTGTGAACCGATTTTAATGATGCTTTGACATCATCATCATCATCAATGACAGTTGTTTAAAGCTTTGTACAGTCTAAGTGTTCCAATATACGCACGCCGTGTACGCCTAATCTAGGTATCTATATTGAATACGCTTACAAGTGGATACGAGTATAGGTCATCTTTTACGCATTGCGGGATTATAAACGCCTGGTAACAAGTCGCAAGTCGGCCAGCCATCTGCCAGTATCCGCCATGGCATGTCTCGAAACAGTGTTTATTAACTTCACTTTACGTTATATAAGTTAACGTCATTATTAACTTGTGTTATATTTTTTTCTTGAGAATATTTGTATTACTTCTATGGTATGTATACTACAGAAGTCTGTGATAGTCATAATGAACGTGTATTCTGTTACATAAAATAAATATGGCCGACATGTAGTGTCAAAAATTGAGACCTAAACATAATTAGAAATAATTGAAAGAAGCAGTATCTGAAATGTATCAATCTACGGTAGTGATATACAAGTCAATGATCAATCATTATTAAAGAGATTAGTCTAACAAGTCGTAAAATTAAAAATTTTGTACAACCGACTTCAATACGACCGAATTAAATGAATTCGAAGTCAATTAAATACGCACAATTTAAGGATAACTCAAAAACTACTGGTCAGATCCTGATCAAATGTAAATGTGACCACACGAGAAGCACAGGCTGTCAAAAAAGCATCGTTAAAATCGGTTCACAGAGAAAAAGTTCTGAGGTAACACACATAAAAACATACATTAGAATTGAATACCTACTCGTTTTTGAAGTCGGTAAAAATTATATTTTACTATTGACTAGCTTAGCAGCTATTATGTTTGTTAAACTAACACAACATTACAATATTCGCAACATTTGTTAGTTTTATTTAATAAAACTAGAAAATGAACAATGTTTTCTTGTTTAATATTTGGCTTAGCTTTTAAGATATTGCGACTCCAGACTGCTGAGGCATGTAAAAGTGAAATGGGGACGAGAAAATTTGATGCACGTCGTCAAATTAAACAAATTGAAATCTCGTTATTTATTTAGGACGCCTTGATGAGTTGAGAACCATTTCCAATTCGTTTGGTCTTGTCAAATTGCGTTAATTCATTTTGGTTTATTGAATGATATAAAAAATCACGTTAAATATGAGTTACACTCGTGATTTTTTCGCGCAAATAAACAACTCATCTAACGTGCTAGAGCCACGCCGCAGCTATATTATGGTTGTAGCACGAATTGGTCGGTTCGACCGGGAACGGACCACGCTCTTACAGAATATCAGCGTGAAATTATCAGCTTAATGCTGCTGTGTTTCGTATGGTGAGTGTAGAGAGTTGGATACCCTTTTCACTGGAAACGAGACATTCCATCGTAATCCTCATAGGTGACAATGCATCTGCATTTTGATTCGTAATCGAGGATAGATGCAGATGTCTATGGGCCACAACAACCACTTATCATCAGGTGGACTGTGCGCTCGCTTGTCACACTTATGCTATAAAAATACCTTCGAAATCGGATAAGGTTTTAGAGACTCTTAACAAAAGCAATTTTATAGTTTTGATGAGATGCTTTACATTCGAGCAGAGTTATTTTAAACAGTAACAAAATCATTACCTATATTCATGATACTTTGATACCATTCGTTGTATGCAGTTAATATATAATTATTATTTATTCATATATCATATTTATATAACAAAATTGCGTGGCAATGTCGTTAGATACTGCCAAATTGGCCCTGGTTTTAAATTTCAAAGTAAAAGGTAAAACAACAAATGTAAGAGAATTCAACACCCCGTTTCATCCCGTGGGCGTCATAAGACTACGAGAAAGTCCAGAAAGATCCTAGTCTCAGAAAGATATGGTATAACCATTTCTTTTATACGAAATGGAAAGTAAAGAATCTCTTGGAATATAAGAGTGAAATAGCAGCAAAATGGGTGTGTTTCGTAAGATCAGCGACAAGATCCGGAGCCTCTTTTTACTGATTGCGAGGCATTTCGAATTAGTTTCATGGGGTGAGGTATTTGCGCTTTGATACTTATAAGACGATAGGAGTAGGTGTCAACATAGTATCCAAATACACGTGACTACAATAGAGAAGTGTGCTACTGCTGTTGTTGCTGTTTCGCTGCAATGATAGACAACATGGAACTTCATTATATCCAGAGCCAGGGATTCATAGTTTTTGTTTTTACACATACATTCGGTATCTAGTTTAGATATGAACTCCTAGTATTTTGTTCTGTCTTGTATTGTCCCTGTAACACAGTATTATCCTTCTATCCTTTTATTGTCACCACGAAGCATAGAACCCAATGTTCCATTTGAAACGTGAGGTGCTCCATCTTAGTCCTAAAGAGTGAGAACACATTAGTAGCGTTCTTCGTTAGTAATTGGTTACACGTGTCCATGGGCCGCCGGAGCCAATAACCAGGTGAACTGTTACTTTCTATGCTATTCTTATAAAAATATATTGTCCATGAATCTACTTCGCTCTGCAAAAACATGCAGCTTCACTCCGTGTTGCGATGCGATAAGTTAAAAGTCCAAAAAGTGTTTAAAGGATTTGTAATAAAAACGATTAGATCCCGCCTCAGTTATGTTAGGGTTGCCACCCTTTTTTAACAAATATAGTATTTTTTCCCAAAAGAGATGCAAAAATATAGTACTTTTCAGAAATTCAGGAGGAAAAAGTACACATTTATTTTTAATCTTTATGTATTTTTCCCTATATATTTTTATTACTCTTTGCTTTGGTCATCAATGATCTAACCACCTTACCTTTTACCTTACCTTTAAAATAATTTAGGAGTCTGAGCAATTTAGATTCATATTAAAATAAATCGACAATTTTTTTTCTTACTTCTTGCAATTTTGCAATCATGATGGAAAAAATTCTTTACGTAAAGCTTCTTGGTCCAGTCTTCCAACCACAGTTAAATACAAAAAAGCGCGGCAGTTGAATTAGGGATAAAAATATAGTATTTTTCGTACTATATTATTTTTCTATAATATATATAGTACAATTTACTGATATATAATACGACAGAGTTTCTCAAACATTGTTCTGCACAACCCCTACTTTAAACCCAAGCTGGTTCCAGAAATAATACATTTTTAATACTCCATATTTTAACAAATGCTTACTCAAAATAACGAAGTTTATCCTAAGTTTGTGTGTGTGTGTTGGTTTTACTTCAAGTCGGTTTCTATATTTATTTTTAAGGTAAAATAATAGTAGTAGGTATGCGGGAATGTTGCGGCCCGGTATTTTATTTTGATGGCCCGGAACCGGGTCGCGACCCGGCAAATGGAAAACGGTGTAATACGATACTATATA